TAGAACAAAGCACATCCCCTTGGGCCGCACCCATCGTCTTAGCAAAAAAGAAAGACGGCTCACCCCGACTGTGCATTGATTATAGGCGGCTCAATGACATCACTGAGTCCGACGCTTACCCAATGCCCGACCTCAACACGCTGATACGTCAGATGAGAGGGGCAAAAGTGTTCAGCGTCCTTGACCTTAAGTCAGGGTACTGGCAAGTACCACTTAAGCAGGACGCGCGAAAATACACGGCATTCCGGACGCGTCGGGGCCTATACCAATTCCGAGTCCTCCCCTTCGGCCTCAAAAACAGCCCCATGACCTTTGTGCGACTAATGGACGAAGTCTTGAGGGGGTACCTGGACGAGTTCGTCCGCGTATATCTAGACGATATAGTGGTGTTTTCAAACACTACGGATGAACACCAGTGCCACTTAGACAAAGTTTTAGAACGTCTACAGAGACACGGGCTGACATGCAACCCCGAGAAATGCAGATTCGGATCGACCGAAATCTCATTTCTTGGACATCTAGTCACCTCCGACGGTATAGACAAACAACCGGAGAAACTAGAGGGCATCATTAACTACCCCCCACCAACAAAGCTGAGGGACCTACGGAAATTCCTGGGCGTTTGCAACTGGTACAGCCAGTTTGTCGACAACTACGCGGACACCATAGCGCCCCTAACGAATAGACTCAAACAGGGAACCAAATGGTCGTGGACCGAAACCGAACAGGCGGCATTTACCAAAATAAAACGCGCCCTGTACGATTCGCCTAAACTATCGACGCCGGATTACGGAAAACCGTTTTGCCTACAGACCGATGCTAGCGAGATAGGAGCGGGTGCCGTCCTTTTCCAACGGGGTGACAGCCCGGACGAAAGGCGGATAATCGCCTACGCAAGCAAAAAGTTTAGTGATACGCAAACAAGGTACGCCGCGGTAGAACGCGAGTGCCTCGCGATAATCTGGGCAACCGATAAGTTTAGACCATACCTGGAGGCACGCCGGTTTGACCTATACACAGACAACTCAGCATTCACGTGGCTCCACCGAGCCAAAAACACAAACTCAAAATTAACCAGGTGGGCACTACAGCTGGCCAACCTGGATTACAAAACCACGCATGTGCCCGGCGTACAGAACGAAGCGCCGGACATGCTCTCCCGCAACCCGACTACCGGGCCCCCGGTAGACGAGGAACACCTCGAGGAACGACTAGTAGGAGTACCCACCTCACCACTCGTCACCACTACTAGTTCACCGGCCGACAATCTGTTCGCCACGACGAACCCGGCTATCACCACAAGTCACCCCACAATCACACACGCTATGCTCGTGACATGGCAGGCCAATGACCCCAACACACGAGACATAACGCACAACATGACAACGGACGACCCAGCGCGCAATACCGGAGGTACCTCGGAAAAAAACAAACAATTCATTTTTACCGACGGTCTTCTCCGGATAAATTTGGGCGAACACACACCCGTAGTCATCCCAAAAACCAACACGCAGAACGTGATCTGGACTTACCACGATCACGTACTCGCAAACCACCCGGGCTGGAAAGAAACGTACAGGGCGGTCAAACAACGTTTTTTTTGGAAAGGACAAAAAAACGACATCCGACTGTACGTCTAGTCGTGTCACATATGCGCGTGTACCAAACCACTAAACACGCGCGCAGACGGCCCCGCGACCACCAGATTACCTCGCCACCCCTGGGAGGTGGTAAGCATAGACCTCATGGGCCCCTACCCGCGCACGAGTAGGGGAAAACAATATATACTGGTCGCCACGGATTTGTTTAGTAGGTGGACCGAGGCATACCCCCTCGGAACAGCCACTACAAAAACAATAACCGAAACGCTCGAACGAGAATTCTTTTCACGTTTCGGATACCCCCGTGTGTGCTTAAGCGACAACGGCTCACAGTTCGTAGCAAACGATATGCGTAAAGCGATCGAACAGTGGGGAGCCGAGGGCTGGACAACTCCGGTATATCACCCGAGGGCCAACCCAGTCGAACTCCGTAACCAGGAATTAAAAAAAGGTCTACGCGCGCTACTCGCCAATGGCAACCACAACACCTGGGACACCAAATTAGCCCCCATACTATTTTCGATCAGGAACAGGCGCAACGACCGGACAGGATACCCACCGTCGGTACTCGTCCTCGGGAGAGAGGGCAAAAGGCCCGGGGACTGGATACTGTCGCGGACAGCGGAAAACCCGATCGAACAAATAAATATGGACAGGGCTAGGCGCGAAAACAATGTACTTACCGCACCACCGGCAACAGGTGGCCCGACGGACACAAAGTACAAAACAGGTGACACGGTGTACTACAAGGCACACCACCTGTCAAGCGCGCACAAAAAGTTTCACGCCGGCTTCGCACCGAAATGGTGGGGACCGGTGAAACTACACAAACGCGTAGGCAAAGGGGTGTTCATCACAGACCAACAGCCGGCACGCAAAATACACGTGTCCTGCCTCAAACGGGCGAACACAACAGAGCCCCAACAACCCCCACCCAAACCCCCCACACCATAAACACTCAATAGCACCTTTATGTACTCAATTTCAGTCGGCTTAGCATCACACCACCAAATGGACCAACCACAACGGCCGGCCACACCCTCCACCCTCCAACAAGCGGCGGCACTGCTGGAACGCAGCCAGGAGCTGCTGAGGGCAGCCACTTTGGAGGAGGGCACGACAGTCACCACGGCGGCTAGGGTATGGCGGATGACCAATTCTCAACTCCAGCGGGACCCGGTACTGTGGGCGGCCTACAAACGAGGGTGGAAGGACCGCACCGCCGTGTTCAAAAGGGCGACAAGCGGCGCACCCACGGCGGCCGCACGACACAACAGGTCGCGAAGCCCCAGACGGGTGGCACAGGTACCGGCCAACACCCAAAAGGCGCAGCCACGGACGCCGACGCGGGCACCCGAGAGGCCACCACCAAGGCCGCTGATGGAGTGGCCAGTTCCAGCGCCGAGGACAGCGACCAGGCCATCAGCAACATCCACCTTCAAGCCGCCGCCACCCCCGACACAAGCGGCAACCGCACCGGCAACACCACCTGCAGTAACGCTGAACGCCCGCCAACGCCGGAACCAGCAGCGGAAGCGGGACCACAGGGCCAAACAACAACAGGCATCCCAACAACACCGCCTGGAAAGGCCGGCACCACCCCCAGCCCCAGGCCCAGAGACGGTCCTGTCACAGCCAGGGCCAGCGTCCCCGCACCTCACCGTGGTCACGGTACCGGAAGTGACACACACTTCCGGAGCGACCGGAGCCACGGATCAACTAGCGGCTGCCACCCCTCAACCCGAGGATATGGAAATATCCCCGGAGGAGGAGGCACAGCTGTTAGGAGGTACGGGCACACACCTGGCTGACCAAGAGGACATGGACGTCAGTCTACTGTACTACAGCCCCCCCCACATCGCCCAAACGCGATTAGACACCGCCAGGGCTACGTCCGCTGAACACAGCCGGAAAACGTACCCTCGGACAGGTGTCTACCACAACCACCATCCACCCACTGACCCACCACAACCACCCACCACTCATGACAACGCAGACCGCCGGTAACGGCCGGAAAACTAACGCCGTTGGCGGTTTGGGGGGGAGTATGACGCGGTCCCGCGCAAAATCTGTTTGAATTCAAACAGCCTTTGCGCGGAAGCCGCGCCGCGGCTTCTCAATCAAACCGCCAACCGACGACGGACGACGCCGGCGCGCGACACGCGCGCCTGGAACCGTCGGCTGGCCGTCCAGCGAACCGGATTGCCAAGGCGCGCTCTCTCGTCCTCACGACTCCGACACGGATAGACCTACACACGTCCCCGCGAGTTAAGAACAATTTCTGTTTTCTCTGTCGCGGTCGATACCTATACTTAATCTGGTATTGAATGTTCTTTGTGTCTTCTTTTTGACTTGAATAATAAAAGTTAGTCACACCTGTGCGCCGTTTCGTTGTTATTTTTTTGTTTTACCGTTATTACCGGTTTACACCGACCGACTCACCGTCGATCACCACCAGCACATCACCATCCACGCGGCTCAATACAAGTCCGCGTCACAGTAACCTACGGAACGGTACCTGCAAGTTTCTTATCGGTTGCGTGTCTTCATAAATCGGCAGATGTAAATAAAATACGTCCGGAGATAGCTCTGATAATAAAGCATGATTTTTGTGTTGACGATTGTTTAACGGGCGCCTCAACATTATCGGAGGCTTTAAATTTGCGTAATGAATTAATTAAATGTTTAAGTAACAATGGATTTGAATTAAGCAAGTGGACAGCTAATCATGCCGATTTATTAAAATATATACCAATTCCTAATGAAAACTCACTATACTCGTTAAATATGGAAACTGAAGCAATAAAAACATTAGGTTTGTATTGGGATTCAAACTCGGATAGTTTCATTTATAAAGTGTCTTTACCAATACCTTAACATAAGATAACCAAACGAAGTATTTTATCTAATATAGCACGTCTATTTGCCCCGCTCGGATTGCTTGGACCGGTTATCGTGATAGCTTAATTAATGCAACAATTATGGAAATTAAAAATAAATTGGGATGATGAATTATCAACAGAAATTCAAATAAAAAGGAAAAAATATTTAAAGGATTTAAATCAATGCAATAATCTAAGTGTCCCGCGCTGGTTGCAGTGTGACGACACAGAAAAAATATATATACACGGATTTGCCGATGCATCGTGCAAAGCGTACGGGGCTTGCTTATATGTAGTATGCACGCGCGCGGACGGTAGTCGCCACTCACAACTAATATGCGCAAAATCAAGAATTGCGCCGATAAGTATAATAACAATACCGCGATTAGAGTTATGCGCTGCCTTACTATTATCAAAATTAATAAAAAAAATAGTTCCAGCGTTACGAATTAATGTTACGAATATTTATTGCTGGAGTGATTCTTAGGTGGTACTAGCGTGGATCGCATCGGATGCAATGCGTTGGAAACCGTTCGTTGCAAATCGTGTGAGTAAGGTTCATAATTTAACATCACAGTATTCATGGTCGTATATTAATACGAAGGAGAACCCGGCTGACATTTTATCCAGGGGATGTGATGTTCAAGATATACAAAAATGTACATTGTGGTGGAACGGACCCGCATGGTTGACGGACGAGCACGCGAGATGTGAAGAACTCTGTCTAGTACACGAAGATGAGGAGACACTATGTGAAGAGCGAAAGCAGTCGAACACAGTAGTAATGGTCGCTGAAGTAAAGGCAAATTATTTTATACAACTGTGTGAAAAATATTCAAAATTAAATCGGTTTCAGCGTGTGTTTGCCTATACATTGAGGTATGTGCATAATATTTCAAGTAAATTAAGAGCAAAAGAAAGATACTCGGGTCCACTCAGCAATGACGAGATCCAAAAATCGGTAAAAATATTTATTAGGCTCTTACAAATTCAATTTTTTGGGGAAGCGCTTCAAAATAAAAAATTGCAGTCATTAAATCCTTTCACAGTATATTGCGTGTGGGTGGCCGACTTGGAAACGCGACAGATTTAACTTATGACCAACGGCATCCAATTATCATACCATATTCGTGTCATTTTGATACACTAATTTTTAGAAACGAGCACGAAATGTCATTACATGCTGGGCCCCAAGCCATGTTGGCAAATGTACGATTAACATATTGGCCGATAAACGGTCGTCGAACCGCTCGAAAAGTCGCCCATAAATGTATTGCATGTTTTAAAAATAAACCTAATATTGTAGAACCAATTATGGGTGTTCTACCAAAACCAAGAGTGAACCGACCACTAAGATGTTTCGAAACTACGGGTGTTGATTATGCGGGACCAATATTAATGAAGTCGCACGCACGTAGAAACGCACAGCTACAGAAGGCATATATATGCATTTTTTTATGTTTTGCAAGTAAGGCTGTACACATAGAGCTAGTATGTGATCTCAGCACGGATGCCTTTATAGCTGCCTTGCACTGGTTTATATCAAGAAGAGGTAAATGCCATACCATATACTCCGATTGTTGCCGCCGCAACATAAAAGCATTACGCAACATAGTACCTACCCAATTAAAAAAAATAAGAATATAGGACATCGGTCACCGGGGAACAGCTGGACACACACACACACACACACACACTCACATATCACTATTTGTATTGTTTTATTATTATTATCGTTGAATGTGTCTTGTGAATTATATAATATGTAGATTAAACGTTATCGCACGCCGCCGCGCCGTCTATGCGAATATTTATTTAGCACGGCGGGCGTGAATCTGTCCTGTTTCGTTCGTCGTTCCACAAACACCGAATTGTAAAATAATATTATAGTTGTTGTCTTTTTTTGTTCTAATATCGAGTCATAGGCGCAATTCGCCACCCTTTTATATTTAATAAATTATATCGTGTTATTATTGTGAATTTGTGAGCCATAAGGGCATTATCATTATTATATTTGTTTTACGCCGAGTACCACGGCATATTGTATTTTTATTTAGCACGGGACCAGCTAGCTAGACTGCGCTCCACAAACTGTGAGTTTTTATTATTATTATATTATTTTACAATATTACACATTTAGTTGTTATGCCAAAAGGGCCTTAGATATTTTATAATTATAATACTACCGTGCCAGAAGGGCCGCATATCATTTTTATATTATATACCTGCATACAAGCTAACAGTTTAAATAGCTGGTCAATTTATATTTATTCTGTTCGGCCATAAGGGTCGTGCATTATTATTTTATTATTTATTATATTTGTATGCCGCTTGGCTAAGAGCGTGTATTACCTAATATATTATTATATTGTTTATGCTGCTGGCTATAATAGCCGTGCACTAATTATTATATATTTATTTACTATCATATTTTTTATACCTACTGTGTTGCTGTGATTTTTTATATATTTGTATTATTATTATTATTGTGTATTATACAGCAACTCAGCTATCAGAAACCGTGTTACCATTTTTTATTACCTATTTGTTTAATTGTATACACACCTACACACATACACATATTTATACACAATTACACATAATTACACAACACGCACTACATAGCCGACAGTAATTGCTAGGCGATCCCGACCACTACTGTTCGAGCTATTACACCATTACACATCCAGCTTGTTCTCCATAATTCCAGGAATTAGGTGTTAGTGGTGTAAGGTGAGTTATTGGTGTCCGGGCGCGCGTATTAATATTTTATGCTCCCGGCCCGCACACCGATAATGGTACTAATTTCGTGGGTGCTAACAAAAAGTTAAGTGATTTGTCCACACTTCTTCTTTCCGAACAGCACAAAATTCGCGTTCAAGACACGTTAACACTACACGAAATTACGTGGAAGTTCATACCGCCTCGGTCCCCCCATTTTGGTGGTTTGTGGGAGGCTGCAGTCAAGGCCGTAAAAAAACACTTGAATCGAACGATTGCAAATTCACGGTTAACTTATGACGAACTATATACGGTAGGTACTAACACAGATAGAATGTTGCTTAAACTCCGAGGACCCTACGGATTTGAATGTCCTTACTCCCGCCCACTTTCTAATAGGTAGCTCACTAGGCGCACTGCCTGAGCCTGACGTGAGAGATATATCTATTAATAGATTGTCTCGATGGCAAAGAGTGCAGCAACTTGTCCAACACGTTTGGGCACGATGGAGCAAGGAGTATTTGGGGCAACTACAAGAACGAAACAAGTGGTCCAAATGCAGAGGACCATCCAACCTGGGACGATGGTGTTAATAAAGGAGAATAACTTACCTCCTTTAAAGTGGTTATTAGGCAGAGTCACAAATGTTCACCCAGGACCTGATGGTGTCATAAGGGTAGCTACGGTGCATACGAATTTGGGATCAAAAAAGCGAGCTGTTCGGTTATTATGTCCATTACCCATAGACACATGAATCACACAGGTTACGTGTTAATTAATTCTGTTTATATAATTTTTTACTATACATATATACCTCATTAAACGTGTACAACTGTAGCACACTATTTATAAATATTATATAGGTCAGCTAATATCAACTATTAAGTATCCATATTGATGCATAAGCATATATATATATTTATTATTTAATGACCGACCATTGTTATCTTCATTGTAGCGATAGTCAATAATATTGTGTATTATTTTTTGATCTTTGTTCACCTATTTAGTGAACATTAGTTCTACCACCTAATTATTCGATTACATTTATTATTATTATTTTTATTAGTTATTGTAAAATCATATGAAACCTGTTTGTAATAATTTATATTTAATAAGTCATTTATATTGTTTAATTATTCTTTTTTATAATATGTATTATATTTTGAAACCGTGTTTCAAGGTGGGCCCATGTTACGGCGCGAACACCGTAATATACTTATATATAATATCGATGTAATGTTTATATGAAATCGTTATCTGTAAGATTATCATTGTGGGCTTGTGCCATAATATGTCCTCACGAATTATTTAGTTGCCGTCGGACCAAACAAGTGGTACGACACACGCAAAACGAAATATACAGTCCACTTATTATATAATAAAAGTTTCTAGTTTTTTATTTTGGTTTTGTTCAATAAAAACAATCTATTTAGAAACAAACAACGATCAAAGAAGCCTGAGAACTATTGGAAAGACAAAAGCACGTTTTACGGTTGATTTTTTTCTACTGTGACGGCCTCTTTAAGTTGGTTAAAATATTAGTTATAACTAGGGATGAGAAGTTATAGGATTTGCATATTTTTTCTGTATCTTCTATTTATAGCTAAAAATCTGCTGTATAACCTAATGAATTGAAATTTGGTATTTAAATTTTGCATATTTTTGCATATTATATTGGTAGTTTTCTTAAAAGTTGCATAATTCTTGTTATTGTTGTGCATAAAAATGCATATTTAGTAAAATTATGTGGATTTTAATAAAATTGACATTAAAAATTTATTATTATTGAAAATATTAAAAAGACTTTGTGGTTTAATGCAACAAATTTACAGTTACCGGTTATTATTAGGATTTTTTCGATTAATGTCGATGTCAAAATTTTCACTCTGTCAATAAATTAAAAAATTAACACAAAGTTCCTCGTAATTGGTTTTTAGTGAAAATTGAAAAAAAATTTAAGCGTCAATCAGTTATAGTTTTTATGAGAGTTTAAATTTCAAATTTTGCCAAAATCCGTAAAAATCGTGAAAATTTGCAAATTATTTTAATTTAGAAATTCATAAAAATGTTTCTTTTTATAGTTAAGATTTGTTAAATCAAACACAAGATTTCTCACAAGTTTTATTAAATTATTTAGTTGTCAAAAATCAATAAAACATTTAACTAAAACGCTAAACATTGAACATTTAAAATAAGGTTTCACATATTATTATGTTGTTTATTCTGTAACAAAAAAAACTAAAAAAAAAACCAAAGATAATATAAAATATCCTAGACTGACATACCTTATCCGCTCAGAATCGTTTTTCGTATGATATTATATCATTGAATTCAAATTTAATACCATTCATAAAGTGACCCATTTGTAAGTTGTAACATACTGTACTTAGCAGAGCGACATACACTTATCCGTTTTTTACGATTTGTAACAATATGTTTAACATAGGAGTGGCATTATTGTCAGATAAAGTTTGGAACGATTTATCGGAACATTTTAAGTATGTGATGTCAACAGCCGCTCTTCATGTGTTCATTAAATCTAACCGAGGAGGGATTTTGAATATCTTAGGTTTGATTGAAGAGAAGGAAACACGACAAAAGTTGGCTGACCAGTTGAAAGACATCAACACTAATGAATGTTTGTACCTATAGTTTTATATTGTAAAATAAATACATACATACGATTTAAAACTAAAAAATAACTATATGTTTAGTTAGCTCAAGTTCTACTGAATACACCACAGACGAACGAGTGTGAAGTTGGGTGACCAATTTTTGGTGATAAGAAAACTTGTATGCTCGGTTGCATTACGGTATTTTCTAGGCGCACAACGTTTATATTGCCGTGTGTATGTTCTACTTCTATTTCTAACCACAAGATAGCAGTAAAGGGTTCTTCACAAAATATTATAAGGTCACCTAAACATCATAGTATTATAACATGACGCCGCGAAGCCAGGACATAGCACTATACACGACACCCATACGACGCCTAACGTATACGCGCGCGTGGTTTTTGATTTTCCGGCAGTGTTCCGGAAGGAGTCGAAGGACCTAACATAGATATTCGGAAAGCCAGGAAAATTTTCTATCTGACGAGATAAATTTCAAGAGCTCCCGGGCTTTTCAAGTAACCGTACTTAGTGCACGAAAGCACCAGGTGACTAATGCCCTGTTGGTATGTACCTTTAGCGGTATTATATAAATATATATATCGCGTCATTTCGCATTAAACTAATAACAATATTTGTACGAGATAGTATAGTGTGAGTTTGCTCCTTCCCGTCCACAGCATTGCGCGAGTCGTTGTCGCTAACCACGATTTTTAAAAGTAGGAGCGGCACGGCGCACATTTTTGGTAGCAGAGCGTGGTTCCCGACCTTAGTGTGGTGGTTTGGGTAGCGTTGTGTTGTGGCAGTTTGTGCTGATCTCGTACGGTGTTAGGTTATATAATGTTGCATTAACTGCAACCGTCGTAACATAAAAATTTGTTAAAATAGCCGTCACAATGGGCGAAAAAGGAGTTGAGCGTGAAACTAGGGCTAAAGCAATCGCATTGGTTAAACGCACTATTGCAGTGTCGAACATTAGGGCAGTCCATGCTATGGCGTTACGAGTCAAAACCGAACCCGACTTAGTTCCCCAATTTTTAGTTGCCATTACTGACTTAGATAGTTTATGGAACCAATTTAAGCTCGAGGACGAGTCGGTCTTAAACAGTTTAGTTATACTAAACGAAACGAAAGATTATGATGTGGGCCTTCCCGCGGAAGTTCGGGGTCTTATTACTGCGTCAAAGGCAATGGCAGAACAGGTAACCCCGAAAGGTGCAGATTTAATTGACATGTCATATATTAATAATAAATTAACGGTTAACCAGACACCGGCTGATGACCCAGGTAAATCGTACTCCCGTTACCTACGTACGATGGTGATCTCCGGGACTGGATCACGTTTCGAGATAGTTTTACGACACTATTAAATAAATGGTCCAATCTATCCGATATTGATAAAATGTACTATCTAGTAGGCAGTTTAAAAGGTGTTGCAGCGGAAGCGATCCGGGGTATACCGTTATCAAGCGATAATTACAATCTGGTGTGGTCTACGTTGACAGACCGTTTCAATCGTCCGCGTCTAGTCGCCACGTCACTTGTCAACAATTTGTTAAATGCGACGGCTATGTCGCAAGAGTCTTATCAGGATTTAAACCAGTTTATATGTACTTTTAATCGAAATATTGCGTTATTAGATTTAAAATACCCGATTTGGGGTCGTTTATGGTATTCTCGATAGCTTTTAGATGCCTGCCTATTGTAACACGTCGTTTGTTCGAGGCTAGTAGCCCGACCGATTATCCGACTGCAAACCAATTAATAGATTTTATTCGGTCCCGCGTGGCCGTATTGGAAGTTGCAGGTGATTCGCACAAAAGCACCCCTTCCGCAGCCGCGCTGTCCAAATTTGGGAAATCGACCGGCCAGTCTCGCACGGGAGGAGAACGGTCCGGGAAGCCACAGGGCTATCATCCAACGTCCCTGGTCACGGCTAAATCAGGTAGTGCTTGTCTCTGTTGTTCGGAGCCTCACAATCTAGCAGTATGCACAAAGTTTAAATCAGGGGTGTCCAACCTTTTGTGAAAACTGGGCCACATCATATAGGTAGAAGTTGTTGTGGGCCACATACTTTTTTTTAATAATAATTCATTCAAATTTAATGATTAAATTATAATCAATAATACAACAATACATTTTTTTATAATTTTACAATAGCGAATAATAAGCAGAAATATTTTTACAATTATTAATATTTAATAATTCAATTATAAGTACACAGAAAAATATATTTATTTATAATAAAAAAGTTTTAGTTTAAAAAAGTTAAAAGTCATTAGTTTTTTTTTAATGTGAAATTTGAAATTTCATATTTTGTGAATGTAATGTATCAATATCTGGATCGATTGAAGTTGTGGAAATCCTTAAACAACTTTCAAGGTGCTTGTCTGATATAGTGAACCGATTCTTACTCTTTATGTTTTTCATTCTTGAAAACAATTGTTCGCAAATGTAAGTACCTACTGCCGAAAAGCGAGAACATGAATAAGACATGGTCATGAAGGACTGGATATGTTTCTTTGGGTAGATATAATTTATAAAAATCTAATAAAGATGACTGATTGAATTTTTCTTTGAGTTGAATATCAGATGATTGCAACTCAATGCATTCCACTTGAAATTTAGTTTCCACAGCAGTAATATCAACCGAAAATGGTGTTGCGAAAATAGCTAAGAGTTGACTATTCTTACGAAAATCTTGAAAACGGGTTTCAAATTCATTAATTAAAACTAAAATCAAAGAAGCATATTCCTCGTTATTCTTGGGATTGTATTCGGCCAACACAGGGAAATACATACAATTATTCACCTTAACTTGACTTTGCCATAATTTAAGTTTCAGTTCAAAGGCAGTTATTATTTGAAACATATTACTAATGAGTTGATTTTTACCTTGAAGACGTACGTTTAACTCATTTAAATGAGTAGTTATGTCAACTAAAAAAGCTAAATCCATAAGCTTTATTTGATGGTTGGTTTATATTTTTAAAATAAATTTGTTCTCGTAATATTAATATATTATGTATAATTAATTCATGGTCTTAAAATTGAAGTGAGGGCCGCATCAAAATCTATTGCGGGCCGTATGTGGCCCGCGGGCCGCGGGTTGGACACCCCTGGTTTAAATCATGGCCTG